GGGGGGGGGGCCCTCCCTATTTAGCTCCAGGGGACAATATAAGTGGTCTTACAATTAATGAATACATTTTCTCTGTAGTTTACTAAAAATAATTACTTCACCCACATCACCTTGAATTAAAAAAAAAAACAAAACAACTTTATCCTGGAGGATTTTTACTGGATTCTGGGGGTATTTTACTAGACAATTTTCTATGTGCAGTTAAAATTGCCTGAAGTGGCATAATTTGAAGTGGCAATTGCACAGAGACACATCTCATTTACAAGCCTTCCACCTTTAAAGCTGTAAAATTTATATTGATAATGGAGATAAGAGTTTATTTTTTAAAACCTTTTGTGCTGTGCTTTTTTTGCTTACTGTTGTTTCTCCCTTATATTCCTTTACATATATATAACTGAGAAGTTATCATTGAAGTCCCTCATCACTGATAATTTACCACCTTTTATGAATTTTTTGAAGGAATGAGCCCTTGGCAAAAGAAAATGAAGTAGGAAGAAGTGCTTTAGTGTTACTATTTCACACAGCTGGTTTAAATAGGTGCAGGTGACGTTTATCCCAAATGTGTTTGTCCCAAGTCTGCTGTTATGACAGACTGGTTCATAAAAGGCTTTGTGGAACAGATATGTCATAGGGGAACAGATTGGGGGAGTTACTAAAAGGAGGGATTTTCACTTGCTGAGATGAAAGTGTTGTTAATTAACTAAATAAATGCAGAAAGGGGCTCTTGGGTTATAAGAGATGCTCATTTGGTGAATGAAATGAAATCCTTTCAGTTGAGAGGAATAGTTGATTTGGTTCCTGAATGGGACAGAGTGGCCAAGCTTTGTGAAGAGTTACCATAAATGCTGAGAGAATAATTAGCATCTTATACCATGATGATCTAGGAAAGATTTCTGTCACTTGCCAAATCATTTGGGAGTATTCATCTCCACAAGTGTTTGTGGAGTCAACTCCACTTTGTTATTAAACTACTGATTAATGAGATCTAGGGAAATTTCATATTGAAGCCATATATTCTGCCTTCTTGTGGTATTTTAATAGGAAATAAAAATATTGAAGCACATGGTTCTGCCCCGAGGGCACAGGGAGGTGGTGATGCAGAGAGAAGGAGAGACTGTGTCCTGATAAGGTCTGAGGGCTGGTGTGTTTCTGGCCTGGAGGGCTGAGGTGAGGGATTGAATTTTGTAATTAGATTTTCCTTTATCAAAAGAGCAGTTCTCCCCCCTGCCTTTTTTTCTCCCCTTTGATTCTGTAGTCTCTCTGTTCGTAAGTGCTCTTACATCACCCACTTTTAATTTTGCCCTTGTTGATTTTTTTCAGCATCTGATTCAACCTTTTTGTATCACTGCTCTGCAGACTGAAAGGATGTTCTGAGAAATCTGAAGAAATTATTTCACCTCAAGCATCAAGACAGGAAACAGACAATGAGGTAGAGCTACAAAAGGCACAATGAGGTACAGAGACAATTACTTCACTGTGATCTCCAGAAAAATATTCACCTGATCAGATTGCTGGCCCTATGTATCCTTCAGTAGGTGCATCCAAAAGAATGTGGGATGCTTAACAACTCTTAAAAAATCTCCAGTTTTTTAGTATGTTGGTATTTTGAAGCAAAAGAGCTGCACACATATCTTTGTATAGATATATTCTATATCTGTACATTGAAAAAAATGTTATTTCTGCTTCATCATCATTGTCAAAACATTGCAGCTCCTGTTGCTTCCACAGGCTACCACGTGTCCAAAAAAAGGGTGTATTTAAAGTTTTTGCCTACTGTGTCCAACATTTATGTAGTGGTAGTTTCTAAAAGAAAGAAACCAACATGCAAAAAACAAGCAAGAAAAACATAATTCTTTACTTTCCAGGGAGTCCAAAGTGAACAGCAATGATGACAATAAAAACCCCACAATTAAAGAACTGCAGAAATGTGTGACCCTTATCTACAAGAGATGCTCCATTATAAGGAACTGTTCATTTAACTCAGGTAGTGCTCAGACTGGTTATCTGCTGTGGTAGAAATAGACATTTATATGAGAAACAATAACTGTCTTCAGACTCCACTCCTTGGAAACTGTGCACCCAAGCAGGAACCAGGCCAGCAGTCAGCTGTCACTCACCTGTGAGTGGCAGTGAAATTTTCCTCCTTTGCCACTCATTTCAAGTCTCATTTTCCCCTTTGTCTAAAACTGAGCTCTGTCTGATTTAGATCATTATCAATTTCTTTGCCTCAAACCAAGGTCTGCAAAAGTGATGAGTGTCCCTGTGTGTGTTGTACTGCCAGTGTCTTTCACACATGCCTTCCTGACTACTCCATAGCAGGAAAAATAATCTCCTGAACTTTACAGCCTTAGGGTCAATTAACACATGGACTGAATCTCAGTGTGTTTGAATCACAGTGCCCGAAGTCTGAAGTGTCTTTTATTGTTGATTGGGGTGCTTCTAATAAATTGAAACACAGGTTTATGCTAAGCTGTAATTCTTTCAGGATAAAGCATTTTAGAAACTGAAAAATAGATGCTGGTTTCCCTAGGGCAAAGACTGTAAAACATATTCCTTAACTACAGAGCCATTACTGTAACTTCCCGCTTATTTGAAGACATGCAGGAACTGGTAAGGTCATAAACAAAGCCATTTTTACAGTCCCTTCTCTGACTGTAACAATAATAGAAGATCAACTATATAAAAACGCACTGGGAAGTTAATTTTTCACTGATGTGAAGTGTAAYGACTGAAATATTCCTCATGTAAATATACATGTGTAAAATAAACAGACAGACTAACAGAGCCCAGCAGCATATTCCTAATTTTTATACAAAAGTGTATACACATGTACATTAAGCACATTAAAATGCTGTAAAAAAGTATCTTRAGAATGGAAAAAACCCAGTCCTGCCATCAGATGACTGTTTGCAGTCATTAAATGAATAAGCCAATAATACTACTTTCTAGGAAAAAAAGGAGATTTTTCACTTAGTGTATTTTTCTTGCTAATAAACTTCAAAGAGGAATTGCAGCATTGGTTTTATTGTTTTGCTTAGATTAATGATTTGTTTAAAAGGTCTAAGTTTTGATTAAAAAAATCAGTAACTACTTTCTTCTTCCACCATTACAAGACTGTTTAGCCTAATTTGCCAATAAAGTCTGTCTTTGAAAGAGAAATATTTGGCTCAGTGAAGCTGTAATGAATGTAGAGGTGAAGAAAGAATAAGTATAAATACACTGTTAGCTTAACACTTAGTTAATTCTGGAGGCAGATATACCTTTGAGTGGGGCTGAAAATCAGTCAGAAAATGTTGGCTTTTCTAAATTATTTTTGTCTACATTCTTATTATTGCTTTCTGGTAGTAATTTTCAGTCATGCTACCTGCTGTGTAAACCCACATCAGGTATATGGGACTCCAGTTGTAAGCTCTTATAATCACTGAAATATAAATATCAATGTACAAATTTAGTTGAAACAATGATTTTTTTTGCTTCATGCTTTCTTGAAAACATATATTTTCTGGGCGACGGGGCTCCCGGTCACGCAGACACCAATATGATGAGCATGATCCGTTTATTTCTGATACAAGCTCCTTTTTATCTATTTTCATAAGCCAGCCTCTCTATATGATTAGTAATGCCTTTCTATATGATTACTAATTATTCATTGGTTAATTTAACAGTCTGTCTATTACATTTCAGCATATGATTGGTATATTTGCAAAAGTGTGTTTTTGTATGCCTTGCAGTTTTAAATCAACATTCTCAGCATTTTGCACTTTCTTTAATCGTCCTATTGTTCCTCAATTGCTCCTTGTTCTTGCTTCTTACTATGTTTCTTCTTCATGGTCAGTGTGAGGTACATGTTACACTGCTGTAGTCACGTCCTCTTCTTTCCCATCCTCTTGTATCTCACTCTGCTCTATCTTGTGGTCTGGGTTCTCAGTAACAGCAATTCATGCCCTTGTTCCCATAAAAACCTGTCTAACAGAGATTCACCT